TGCTAACACGAACGCGAGCCTGCCCCTCCAGGTCAATCAAGTCGTTCGCCTTGCAAAAAAAAAAACAGAATGGGCATCTAGAGCAGTACGGTGCTCCACGCCGTGAGAACCATTCTCCCGTGATGATACTGTTCAGAGACGGGACAGAAACGGGCCTTCATCAGTCCCCCTGCGTGGAGCGACGCGGTGCCATGTAACCCACGAGAAGATGCAGTTTCCCGCCCTCCCTCACCCCTCAACAGGTTGTTCCTTTGTGCCGGGCAAGCAGCCCACCCCCCCCCATCCGTTCGTCATGTACTTGTGCTATCTAACAAAGACCAGCCCGCCGCAAGAAAGCGCACCAGCAGCCAGCCATGGCCTGGCGCGCCCACTAAATCTTGACGTCGTTCTCTTGTCCCCATTTCTTCATACACCGCACCATGTACTCCACCTGGGAAAAAACAGTTGTTCCGTGTAGTGTAGTGTGGAAGAAACCATGTGGCGTTGGTCACGGAGCAAACGCAAGCTTAGCCAACCCTTGGGAAGAAGATAAACCATGTTATTGTGATGGGGGGCGATCCAATACGGGCAAGCACACGGAGTATGGGGTCACGCAATCATCCGTTCAGATTTAGGTTGTCTACGCAAGGACTCTTAACATGGTGCGGCGGGACGCATGGCCACGAGACCACCTTCTTCGTTGACCGATGCCCGAATCGATACGTTCGGACACAGTTTTCTTTTGGTTATACTTCGAAGTATTATGCTTCGTTCTACACGCAGTCTGCCATTCGAAAACAACACATCGCGAGGGTAGCGTCAGCTCGACCGTCCTGAAGCAGGCTTAGACCTCCCCCCCCTCCCCGCTGAACGGTCCCGCCACTCCTCCTTCCTCGGGCTCGCTTGTTCACACTTTGCTTTCTCCCTGATACCATATGTCGAGCAAGCTATGTAGCGTAGAGTAAAAACACGTGTAGACTACTGGATAAAAAACATACTAGTATTTTGTTGCGAGCGCACCTGTGGGTTGTTAGTGTTTCGCACCATCGCCAGCACGTCCTGAAGGTCGTCCTTCTTCGCCTTGCCGGCGATGACCTGCAAGAAGACAACGAACGTTTATCACCCGCGTCACACAACCACTGAGCAAAACACGAAAATGAAACCGCGCAGGCTAGGCTACCAGAGTAAGTTTGTGAGACTCGGAAGCCGGAGGTTTGTGTCTGTTGAAGTAAATAAACTATCCGTACAGGATTCGATGAACATATCCCTTGGAACGATCCCGGGAGTTTCCAAAAACAGGTTTACTTAACTCTCTGCAAGAGTACTAGACTATCGTGCTTGGTCGCGCTCCTGGTACAGTAAGGCAAGGACTTCACTGTACTCATGAGATCAAAGAAAAAAACCGACACTGCTGGCCAGAATTTCGTCCCCTACAACGGGATTTGCCCCAAACACCCGGCTGCTCGACACACCTGCTGAAATACACCCACGCAAGCCCCCCTCTTGCCCTCCCAGTACTCTGGGTCGGGATCAAGCCTCTCCAAGACGTCGAAAGCCTTCGCCGCGTACAAGAAGTGGCCCATCTATGGAGCGCAGACGAAGCATCACATGAGGAGGTTAATACTCTTCAGAGACAGACGAGGATACTCGAGGGTAGTGAAGAATGTGGCTGATATAGCCAGGGAAGTCGTTTCTTGTTGTGTTTGTTTGCTCACAGACAAGACACGAACCAATGAGCTAGCTGCCTGAGCCGGAAGAAAACTTGGGAGGTAAGAGGCAAGGAGACCCGTGAACAGAAGGTAGTCCTGAGGTGGGGGGGGGGGAGGCAATGCAAACACCTATCACCGTTGCTGTTGAGGGAGTACCAACAATATTTGGAAATGGAGTGGTAGCAGCAGGTGTTGTTTTGATTGCGGCAGAAGCAGTTGCGTAGAAGCCGTGGAATTGGCTGCACGAAGCACACAACAACCCAGCAGAAGAAGGAGAAGAAGCAAAATCGGGCAGATACAACAGACACCGTAAATCTCACTCGGTAGCAATCGTTGGCGATGAGCTGTAAGAGGTTGAAGGACTCGTTGGAAGTGTCCATCTTGAGGTACAAGTCCCAGGCCGACCGGGGGTTCCCATTCATGATGTAGCACCTGGCACGCAGGTGGTTGAGGCCATTTTCACGACGGGTGGGTAGGAGGCGTACAATATGTTTTGCGTGCCTGAGCAGGGGGGGG